CTAGAATGCTGCCTTGGGGGATACTGCTGTTAATTGGAGCAGGGTTTGATATAGTGCTCCCTATTTTTACTATTTGTTGCCTGTTTGACAGGAATGCAGTAATCCACTTATGAAGGGATCTGGAAATGCCATAAGAGTTTAGTTTTAACAGTAGTTTGTCATGTATCACTGAATCAAAGGCTTTGGAGAAGTCTATGTAAATTGCATCTATAGCTTTACCCTGGTCAAGTAGAGTAGTCCATATGTTTTTGCAGTATAGGAGTTGAAGATTGCAGGACAATTTTTTCCTGAAACCAAATTGTTTTTAGGAGAGTAGGTTGTTTGACTCTAAGTGGAGGATGATGAATTGGTTAATGATTGATTCCATGACTTTGCACGTGACACAACACAGTGAGATTGCTCTGCCGTTTTCAACCAGGCTGGGGTCACCTTTTTTGAAGATAGGGATAGCTAAGGACCATAGGTTCAGTAAGGAGTTGGTTCTGAATGATATATCATATATAATGCTTAGGGGTTCTGCTATGGCAGAGGAAAGCTTTTTTAAGAAGTATGCACATGATCCATCGGGGCCAATAGATAGGGATGGTTTTAGATTATGTGATGCCTTTTCTACGTTATCTTCTGTAAAGTCAATATATATTAGATCATTGCAGTTAGTTGTGTTACGACTAGAAAATGTGGGGCATGAGCCATTGCTATTAACAAAGACTGAGCTGAAGAATGTGTTGAAGAGGTTGGCCTTAACAGCTTTGTTGCTGCAGTCTTTCCCATTTGGTCCCTTTAGAAGTGGGATGGTTCTTGAGTCTTTAAGTTTGGTGTTTACAAAATAGCAGAAGGTGCGGGTAGATTTTGTACATAGGAGGTCTTCCTCCTGTTTGCAGTAATAATTTGGACATTCTGCCTATATCTGTCAGCATAAGGTGTTGTATCAGTTTTTAAAGTTTGCTACATAGCTAGTTTTGTTTTTAATGCCATAGTGATTTTTTTTTATTGGAGTTTTCTTATTGTTATGAGTAATTTGTTTTTTGTTTTTTGTTACTAATGGTACATATAGTTTAATGACTCTTTCAAGTTCAAGTAAGAATGCATTATAATGGTCTTTTGTAGTATTACAGTTAGAGAACAGAATGTGCCAATCAAGAGTTGATAGGTCGGCATCTACCATGTTTCTCCAACAATAAGCCCCCCCCGCCCCATAGGAAGACCCAGCATGTTTTCTAGGCATAAAATGAAATTAAGCCCCTCCCCCCAAATTTAGGCCTAGTTTAAAACATGCAAAATTGGGGGGAAGGCAGGAGGGGGAACTTGCCATTACTAGTGCCCCATGGGCAACTACGCCTCACCATCAGCCGCTCCTAACAGCCAATCATGGTGGAGCACAGAGGGCTCCCTTACCCCTCCCTTACCCAGGTCAGCAGGCGGGCGGCGTCGGCGTGGATGTCCAGCAGTGTTTTAGCCGCTTCTCAGGCCTCCGTAGCTTCCACGGTTCCCACCGGTGCTGGCGCCTCTCTCGCCAGCGCCATCTCCAACAACAGCATCTGAGTCACTCCCACTTTTCCCCTGTCCCCGTAACAACAGGAAAAAGAAAACATTTTGAGGTACCTGGGAGGGCCGCACGCTGCATTTTGGTTGAATCCCGAGCGGCTGGGTGGGCATGAGAAGAGCCAAGTGAGCGTCTCTGCTACTGCTACCCTTGGTGCTCCAGCCTCGGGCTCTGCAAGTTTGCAAAAGTCCTGGTGCGCAGCCCGTTCCTGCATTCCAAGCGCCCAGGCCGAGCTGCAGCTGTCCCTCTCTTGCCAGCGCTGTCTCCAACAACAGCGGCAGCAACAGTGGGAACCGTGGAAACGTTTCAGCCGCTTCTCAGGTGGGGGAGCCACCTCCATAACTTCCACGGTTCCCGCTGCTGCTACTGCTGTTATCGGAGATGGCACTGGCGAGAGAGGGACAGCTGCAGCTCACCCTGGGTGGTTGGAATGCAGGAATGGGCTGCGCACTGGGACTTTTGCAAACTTGCAGAGCCCGAGGCTGGAGCACCAAGGGTAGCAGCAGCAGAGATGCTCGCTCAGCTCTTCTCACGCCCACCCAGCCGCTTGGGATTAAACCAAAATGCAGCGCGCGGCGCTCCCAGGTACCTCAAAATCTTTTTTTTTCCTTTTGTTACAGGGACGGGGGAAAGCAGGAGTGACTCAGATGCTGTTGTTGGAGACGGTGCTGGTGCGCGCGCGGGGGGGGGGGGAGAAATTAATTTACCCCTGAAAAGACGTCCTAGCCATTTTTTCAGGGCTCAAAAAAAATAAGACCTGGCCTTATGATATGAGAAACATGGTATGAGTTCATAGTTGGCTTTTTTGAAATTGTATTTTGGAAATCCATCATTATGATCTTCTTTGTGAGGGCATAAATTGAGACAAAAGTCAATCATACTGTGGTCACTGTTTGAAAAGGGTTCTTGTATTTGTAGGCCATAAATTGAGTTTGAGCTGTTGCAGAAGATGAGATCGAGGCAGTTGTTGAGTCTAGGGTTGTTAGTTACATAATTGATCCAGTCCCAGTGTTGTAGCGGCATTGTACAGGGTTGCATGTATGGGTTCGGATGTACATTCATTTAGGGTTCGGATGTACATTCATTTACAATCTATAACAGGTAGATTGAGGTCACCAAGGAAAATAAGAGGGTATGGACAAGAGGCAGCTCACGTCAGCAGTGAAGTTAATTATGTTTGCATGAACTATGTCATAATCAGGGGCTCTGTAGCATAGTAAGAAGCGGATAGTGGTATTTAAGGACAGTTCACAAACTATGGTCTCTGGAAGAGCAAGCTCTTGTGTAATTTGAATCTTTCTAAGATTTGGGGATTTTTTATAGAAGATAGCAACTCCACCTCCTCTACGGATTTCACGATCTGACTGATAAATGTGATATTCTCTGACTGTGGTAATGGAGTCTGGAAAAGATGCATTCAACCACGTTTCACAGACAAATATAATATCGAATGTGGTTGTGCTTAGTTAGATGAGGAATTCATGCATTTTGTTTGTGAGGCTTGTTGCATTGTGTAGTTTGCATTTTAGATATGTAGTAGTGGCTCTGGAGGAAGTAAAGGGTGTGCATGCCTATTGTTGGATGTTGGGGTGATGGTTGTTAGGATTTAAGTTGAAGGTCTTGCTTTTGATACATTCTGTGCAGTAGTCGATGTATAGGTTACTATTTCCTCGTTCTTGTAGTCTTTTGAGTTCAGAGCGTAGTTCATGGGACCGTACACATTACTGTAAGGTTAGGTCAGGGTGAGAACGGAGATTCTTATGGTTGACGTTGGTCTTGGCAAGTGAGTTTATAGTGCAAATGAATTTTTGTTTGCTTAATTCATTTTTGCAAATGAACCTGCAGAAACGTGGGGCCAACAAGCTGTCACTGTTTTTTAACTGGGCCGATGCGGAATATGTCGAGTATTTCATCAGGGGAGATGCTTGATGCTTGATCGCCACTGATGATGTTGCAGACATTTGTGATGTCATCATTGTCATTGTTGTCTTCAAGACCAAATAAGATGGTATTGGGACGTTTCCATTTGCACTCGATGGCTTCTTTGATGAGGATTGGGATATCATTATTTGTTGGATTTAAAGGGAAAGCATGGCTTTCCCTTTAAAACAAAAGGGAAGTGTAGGCCTTTGTCTCCTGCCTGAGGGATCACTTAATTGGCTCCCCAGATTTTTTTTTTTAAAGCAGTGAACTCAGTTGCCTGATAATGATTGTAAATGACAGAGACTATCAGATTTACCTTGGGACATCTCCAGAGAGTTTGCAGTTAGTTTAGTCTGAACTCTCTGTCAGCTGCTTGGGCTCCTTTCTTCTCAGTATGTGGTGGCTGGACTCAGGCTACAGTCTTTCAAATCTAATTAGTGTTATGGGAGAGGCAGGTGGGGAACCTAAAACCAATCCTCGTTTTTGTTTTGCCCTTTGTAAAAAAAAAAGTCAGAAGTTATACAAGGCAAAATAACATTTGTAGGGAATGTTGTGCATAAAGACCTTTGACTTGGTCTTTGAATAGCAGTGTATATTACAGTGCAGGAATACACACAATTTTGGACTGAGTGATAGCAATAGCATTTGGACTTGTATTGGCAATAGCATTTGGACTCCATTAGTGCTTTATAGCACACTCTGAGTGGTTTACAAATGTCAGCTTATTGCCCCCAACTATCTGCGTTCTCATTTTCTGACCTCAGAAGGATAGAAGGGTGAGTCACAAAGTTGGTATTCTACCAGTTCGGCCCAGTTTGGCTGAACCGGTAGCTCTGAGGATCATCTGTGAGTTTGCTCCAATGATCAACTGCTGGGCCTGCCTGCCCGCCCCGGCTCTATATTGACCTTTATTTCCTGGTTTTGAAGCTTAGCTGCTTCGTGCGGCACAGTGGATTGCCACATGTCAGCTGTTGAACACACAGGGAGAGTGCAGGATTGCAGGAGAAGGTCAGTAGGAAACCCTCTACGCACGTGCACACGTGAAGTGTGCCCACTAAGCCACACCCACAAAAATTTGAATCCCACCACTGGTGAGTCAACATTGAGCCAGTCAGGAACAAACTCCAGGCTGTGAGCAGTTAGCCTGCAATACTGCATTGTAATCATTGCACCACCAAAGCTCAGTATGGGGACAGGGCTGATCCCATCCTAGCTTTTTCACAGTGAAGCTATGTATGGATATTTTACTTATGGGTATTATATCACCTCTGTTCTCTTGAAGGTGGGGTTAAGGTGGGCTCTCTGCCCATTTCTTCTTTCATCTGAACAGAACAATTAGGGAATACAGTTTTTTTTAGAAAAGAGAAGGAAGTTCTAAAAAAAAAAAAGTCCAAAACAACTTGTTCAAAAGTTTAGAATCATAATTTCTCATTTGGGATAAATTCGAATTGTGTGGGTTAAATGGTCCTCATTTATAGAAAAACACCCAGTCCTTTTGCAGGTATCCTAGTATCTTTACTAGGAACAAAGAAAATTAAACAAGTTGAGTTGTTAAGATGAAATGTTGACAAAAATCAAGGGTGTGGGGCAAGAGTATTTTAACATCAGGTGTTTTGAACATGAGGACTACAATTGCAAGCTGAAAATTGAATGAAATGTTAGGAGTGGTGAGTTTCAAATTCTAAAAGTAGAATATATACTACTACTTGTGTTGCCTACTAGGGACAATCCACTCACTTTCCTGACCTGACCCAGAACCAAAAACTGAAACTTTATAGTCTCCATATCAGCAAAGCCAGAGAGTAAATTTAACCACAACTAAAAGTTTACTGATTTAACTGCAGATCTACCTTTGGCAAAATCCATACTTCAGTGTAGGATTTCTCTCAACAGTGAGTTGGAACTCAAAGTGAGGTTCAAACAATTTGGTGGAAGTGTACATTTAAAAAAGAAGATGAAAAACCTGATCAAGCTTGCAAAGTAAAAATCCTGCCAAAATGTGTTTTGGGATTAGTTCCTCATTTAGCCCATTCAGTTCCCCTATTTCTGATGGAGTCGTCAGTTTTGCTCATGTCTATATGTGTTAGTATAACTTTATTTAGGCCTGTGGGCCAGATGCATGACACTGTGAGTTTGACACTTGTGATTTAGGCAGTCACAGTTATTGCAATGTACAAGGTGCCCTAGTTTAGGGATAGAACATATGCCTTCATGCAAGAGATAGGGATACAAATCCTGATATCTCAAATAAATGAAGTCAGGTTTAGACCTGAAATGCTGATGAATCATAGTCAATTTGAATAATATGTCTACAGAGATATTTGTTCTAGATCAATTTGGACCTAACTGAATTTATTTGGAGTGTTTGATTGATTTGAAATCCACACATGCATTTTAGTGGTCTAAATCAGTCAAAACTGATTTGAATCAAATTTGATTTGGGATTTCAGTATGAATCTGTCTGGACACTTAACTGACCAGTTTTTCAAACATGAGAATTGAAATGGGCCTGATCTATATATCCTATCACAACAGCACTTAGCCAAACAATGTAATGTTTAAACTTTTTATAAAAGAAGTTTCTAACTTAGGAAGATTGTGTATATCTGAGTTTACTAAACTGGAAATACAATCATGTGATAAGAATAGTGCAGCATTTGCCCAGGCAGATGCTTTCTGTTTTCTGCTAGCTAACCAACATAAATTGCCATACTTATTTTGTCTCTAATTTTGTCTTTAAGAAATGGTGCTCTAAATTGATATAATTGTTCTGACAATAATTTTTTTCCTTCTGATTTCTATGTGGGAACAAATCAGGATCAATTCAACATGGCTGCTCACCCTAAGAATGAGTCAAAGCAAATGATTATACATGAAATCATACATAAAGTATGATTTTCTTTTCCCTACTTCCTCATTTTCTTAATTGAGTAAATTAAGAACTTTTAATTTAAACCTAAGGAAAATACCCTGTGATAATCCATTCTGGAAAAAGGAGGCATGATTAAAATACACCATCAAGAAGATGGGATCAGATAGGCGAATGCCATCCTCAAATTTGTTATAAAGTTTTGGAGTCTTTTTAAGTAAGTAGCAGAATGCTTCTACATTCATATGTGGGAGAAGGGCAGGCAAAGTTGGATAGTAGAGTTAAATGTATCATCAGTTTAGAGTCCTTGGGTTGCCAGAAAAGGTCCAAGTCCACTCCCCCTTGAATTCCATTGACCCCTATCTCGTGCCAATTTAGTGCTGACCATTAGTTGACCAGACTTGTGTATAGATCTGAATAAATCTTCTATGTTGCAACTTTTTGCATGATCCTTATTGTTTACACTGAACATTACTTCAGATCTCTGGGGTTAAAAAAAACAAATGGTCACAGACACTTCTTAAAGAAAGAAGACTTTATTTATAAAGGAAGTGTCATTTTCTTTCTTTTGAAAGGTAGTCCTTTGACGTTTTGCTGGAATAGACTTCACTACGTTTGTTAGGTCTTTGGATAAAATATTATGTGGAACTAGGCAAAAGAGTTGATCAGAAGCAAGGACCTCAAAATTAGTGGGTGGTCGAGCAATCACAAACCTGTTTTAGAGAAAAGTCACCAATAAAACAGAAATCAATTAAAAACAATAGCTGTATTGTTCATGAGGAAAAAAACAAATTTATAAAACAATACTTTTATTAGAGCAACTAACATACAAAACCAGTGTATTCAAAGACCTGAATATTTATCTGAATATGGAAGGGAAAGAAAGAAGTTAACAAACAGAAATTTAATTCATTTTACATAATACTGATTTATTAGAATTTTTTAAAATAGCATCTTATACTGGTTCCTCTCATTGACAAGTTAAATGGTATGTTGGAGAGTAACAGAATGACTTTTTATAAGATATTGACGATGAGAAGTTTTTATGGAATAATAATGCCATAGTTTTCAACAGCAACAATATTGCATTAAAAAATCAGCCAAAAATAGATAAGTACTAATCTTACATTGGTAAATTTGCCTAACTCATGTGGAAAAAAACTTGAAGGAATTTTAGGAGAAAATGTAGCAATACTTGGCAGAGCTATAAGGCATCTTGTGTTAATGTCATAAGCCTCTGAGTTATTTCTGAATTGGAAGTTGTCTTTGGTTAATGGAATAGTATAAGAATTCTTGCTCTCTGTGAAAGAGAAGGTTACAGATTCAGCCTCTGACTTATACTACAAAAAAGGGTGGTGCTTCAACTCTAAGAGTGATGGATGCTAAAATCCTAGCAGATCTGGAAGATGCTACCTCAAGGAAGTCTAGGCCATGTAGGTCAGAGGTCTGATTCATTTTGTAGATATCTATACCAGTGGTTCTCAAGCTGTGATCTGTAGGCTGCAAGAGGTCCATAGGGCTTTGAAGAAATGTTATGATTTAAATTTTAAGTCTTGGTGGTCTATGGACATGGTCTGTAGCCAAAAATATATTTAAAGGGGGTCCAGAGTAAAGAAAAGGTTGAGAACCATGATTGATACTGTTACTGTATATAGTCCACCATTTTATTTGCAGTAGTAGCCAACTAAAGTGTCTCCAAGAAAAGATCACAATCAGGACATCAAGACAATTTATCTCACTGCATTTTAAAACCAATTGAGCCAGCAGTCACCACTGTATCTCCTGACAACAACTCCATATATTAATTATAATTGCATAATTCACTACCAGTACTAGCTGAATACTACTCTCAAATCCTATCCTTTAATGATGATTTTTCATCATATTATACATCCCCAAAGCTACTTTTCAAAATTCATATTGTTTCTGAAAGATTATTGAACATGCCAATATTTTATTGCTGTGTATGCAGGTAGATAGCTAAGCCAATATTTTATTGCTGTGTATGCAGGTAGATAGCTAA